CATGTCGGGTCGCTGTCGCCCTGCCCAGCAAGAGGAGGAGGTTTGGCAGGCGAAGCTCTGCGTGTGTTTCTGTGCCTGCGCGCATGTAGACTGAGCAAAGATAAGGGCAGACAAATCTCTTTTCTGAGTTTTCCTTTTGCTTCCCCCAGGTTTTCCCTGCAGAAAGCTTGCCGTGACCTTAGCCCGTCCTGCTCTTCCACTTGATACGCTCTGAAGGAGGATAAGGAGTTTGGCCGCTTGCGCTGCTCTCTCCAGCTCAGCCAGAACAATTTTATACATGTTGGGCTTGTCTGGACATGACTCTGAAAAACAGAGGATCTGAAACATGAAAAATGGAGTTCTTGTAAGAAAATAAACCGGGTTAAAGGTGCCATTGGCTCAGCTGACATCACTTGCCTCTGCGGAGAAAGGTGGAGAACCAGCACTCAAGGAAGAATTTTGAAATTCTTACAGTAGTATTTAATGTCTTACACAAAGGAGGGAAAACATTCATCATTAGAGAGGCCACTTTTGGAGTTACATCATCTATGCATTTCTGTTGATTTTCTACCTGAAAATTCAGCATTTAGAACACCCCTTAAAAAAAAAAAAAAAAGTTATGTCCATGTATTTCAGTGCTTCAGAGTAGATGCCCCGATCTTATCTTGCCAAGTCCACAAAATGTAGCCAAAATAAAAGTTGCTCAGCCAAAGCACAAATTTCAGCCCTATCTGACTCGCAGCTTACTTGTAAAAAGTGGGAAAAAAAGGGTATCTGCACTTCATCTAGTTAATGGGATTCTGTAAATCTTCACATTGATTTCACATTTCTTCAAACATGCTCTTCGTTTTAGCTTTCAAAAAGACAAGCTGGAAAAAGAACTTACATCAGAACAAACAGTTACTTTCAGAATAAGGCAACAAGTTGTTACTTCAAGTCTGAAAAATGTAAACCTGCCATCTACTAACTTATGAGCTCAAAGTTCTCTATGTTTTGGATCTGCATATTGCTTTCTCTGTAGCCTTTTACTGTCTTGACTTACTCTGGGAAACAGAAAAATATCTAGGTCCTTTTTCATCACATGCTACATATCACTCCAAGTACCTGAAACTCCAAAGAATCATAGAATGGTTCAGGTTGGAAAGGACCTTTAAAGGTCATCTAGCCCAACCCCCCTGCAGCGCACAAGGACATTGTCCAGTAGATCAGGTTGCTCACAGCTCCGTCCAGCCTGACCTTGAGTGTTTCCAGGGATAGGGCATCTCTCACCTCTGTGGGCAACCTGTTCCTGTTTCACTGCTTGTCCAGGCCCTTCTGGATGGCATCCTGTCCCTCAGGCATGTCAGTTGCACTAACTCAACGTGGTGTCATCTGCAGACTTGCTGAGGGTGCTCTCAATCCCACTGTCTATGTCTCTGATGAAGATAGGAAGCTGTACTGGCCCCACTACTGACTCCTGAGGGACATCACTTGTCACTGATCTCCATCTGGATGTTGAGCTGCTGACCACTAACTCTCTAGATGCAAATAACCAACCAATTCCTCATTCACCAAAAAGTTCACCCATCAAATACATATCTCTCCAGTTTAGAGTTTTGGGGGATCATGTCAAAGGCCTTACAGAAGTCCAGATAGATGACATCCATGGAAGAGGAGAACTGAAGTGCAATGGAGACATTTTGCATGGTGGCTATGTAACCCGTGCC